CAATTGAAGCCCACAGAAGTAGAATATACTCCTGACCTCGTGGAGTGGGTGCTGGTGCATGTCACTGCACAAAATCTCAGAGGAGAGAGAGCAGAGCCCAGATCCTCCAGAAACGGCTGCCCACAGCCCTAACCAGCTTCCTTCACGCCCCACCCCCATCTTTGATAGAAAAGTTACTGAAAGACAGTGTTCCCATTGCAAACTGGGACTTGAAAGACAAGACAATACAAAAGAAGATAAGAAGAAAAGGTGTCGAAGTTGAATCACCTACCGTATGGAGCACATGGAAATCTGGATGGAGCAGCTCACTCTATGTATAGGAAAGACGTAGACGAACGGCCATAGGGAATGCACTAACACGGGGCACTAAAAGGAGGAAGAAAATAAGGGAGGGAAAAAAGAAAGAAGGGAAAAATTGCCCAGAGCGTGCGAAATCTATACAGAAAACAAGAGAATACAGTCATTCAAGAGATGATAGATACAGAAGAGAGACAAAGTTGATCCAACATAAGGATAATAAGTGTCTCTGAAGTACAGAAGCCAACACATAGAACAGAAGTCGTTTTCAAGAACAATGTAGGAAGTGAATGAAGAGTAGATCTCGAGCCAGCCGTGATGGCCTAGTGGTTAAGTTTCAACACTGTCACCACTTCGGTGGCCTGGGTTCTGATCCTGGTTGTGGAACCACACCATTCATCTGTCAATAGCCATGCTGTGGTCATGGCTCACCTAGAAGAAATAGAAGGACTTACAACTAGAATATACAACTAAGTACTGGGGGTTTGGGGAGGAAAAAAAAAAACGAGAGAAAGATTGGCAACAGATGTTAGCTCAGGGCAAATCTTTCCCAGCAAAAAAAAAAAAAAAGAGTGGATCTATAGTTCAAACAACACACTGTGTTCCAAGAAAGATTGTTACAGGGAGAGCAACATAGCTGATCCATCACAGTTAATGAATAGTCAAGCTAATAACTTCAAGGATAAGGAAAGATTTCTTCAGGGCTTTAGGTAGAAAAAACCAATCACCTAAAGGAGAAATATTAGACTAGCTCTAGGCTTCTTTATAGCAGCATTCAATGTCAAGGCCAAGTGTCAGATACAGATGGAGATCATACCAGATGGAAGGTTTAGGGATGACTTTTGTTTGCTTTTTATGCCTTTCTGTAATGTATGCTTTCTTTAATTGTTTAAAATGGGCAAATATTACTCATGATACAAACAATCAGAAATAAATAATAAAACTATTTTCATTTTGAAAAACAAAACAAAAATCTAGGACCTACCAGAAATCCATTCTGTTTCCATATCAACACCCATTCTTTCTCATTTTACCCTGGATTTAAAGAAACAGACCATGAGAGACTCAGGAAATCAGGTCACCAGTGCCTTCAGACAAAAGAGAGAGAAATGAACTCCAGGATTTGGGAGAGCGTTGGGGTGAAACCATGAAGACTGCTAAGTTTCTTTCACGTGTTTTAAAGGATGTTGTCTTAGACTCGTTTGCACCGCAATGGAGCAATTAAGACTCACCCTTGGGAGTCACCCAGCCTTGAGTTGGCATCCCACTGGTCATGTGATCTTGAGGAAATTACTCAACTTTCTTAGACCTCGGTTTCTTTATATGTTAAATGGGAAAAATAATAGTAGTAACTGCCACAAAACAGTGATAATTAAATGAAATAAGGTATGTAAAGTGCTTTTCACAGTGCCTTCCACTTAGCTACCATCGCCACCATCAGCAGCCGCAGCAGCACCATTATCATCTCTACTATCATCGTTACCACCATCATCGTCATTTCTGCCATCATCATCATCATCACAAGTATCATCATCACCATCATCATTCATCATCATCATTCCTGGCTAAGAGACCTTTGGCATGTCACTCCCCTTCTCTGAGCTTCAACTAGCTCATTATAAAATGGGGGGAATAATGCAGAGGAGTTTTAACTTATTATTATAGTAGCTAACCCTTACTGACTGCCTCTCATGTGCCACACTTATACTAAGTGTTTGCATACAGTAGTTCATTTAATCCTCAGAAACACCCCCAGTAGCAAGTCCCTACTGTCATCACTTCACAGGTGACAGACCTGAACTCTAGCGAGGTTTGCTGGAGCCAGGACTTAAGCCTGTTCCTACTGACATCAGAGCCCAAGTGCCAGCCCAGCATGGTTCACCACCTGTTCTGGTTGTTAGCTTCAAGGGAGATAATGGGAATGAAAACCCCTCGGCACAAGGGGCTGTGCAAGCTCCTCTTGGTTGCTTATCTTTGCCCTCAGGGGGTGGCCTGAAGGCCCAGGGAAGGAAGGAGACAGGGGCTTTGATGTCGATGTACCCTGAACTCCATGGTGTCTTGACCGCTCTTCCATCGATCCTGCAGACCTTGACAGAGCGCCTCGTATGTGTGTCCCAGGTGCTGTGCTGGGAGCAGGGGCCAGAAGCAGTAAACAAGTCATGGTCCCAGCCCTGAAGCAACAAAGAGGTGTGCATGCGGGGAGGCAGGTTTGTCCACATTCTGTCCATCGTAGGCTGAGGTACCAGCACCGGAAGTTATCCGCAGCTGCTTCCAAACACACCTAGGGAAGTCGAGGGAAGTGAAACCCCAGCCCTCAATCCCATCCAGGCTTCAGAATAGCCGTGAGCTGACCCCCTAGGAGATGCTGCAAGGTTCCCAGCGGTGTTGGAGGCAGGACCAGATGGGTGCGTGACACAAACACTTTCTGACAATGAAATGTCACACGCTCTATAGACCTACAGTCTGGTTTTAGCACATTTCGATGTGTAACCGTTGTTCTCGCACATTTTGATAGATAGCTTTAAGATATGGAGAGTCCACTTTCTGTGTGGTCAACAACATACCAAATCTCTTCAAAATCAAATTTTGAGCATTTAATTCAAGTACGTAAATATTGATCGAGTATCTACACTCTGTCAAAGATGCCAGGCGGATGGAGATGCTGCCTGTCCTGGAGGGCTCACAGTCTCGTGGGGAGTGAGGGGGTGCGCCATTCTGAGGCATTTTTGACGTGTCGGAGTCTTAGGCCTGCTGGCAGCATGGTGAGGTGATAACGATGAGTGCTGGGGACAGACGCAGGCTTGAGCTGGTCCTGGCTCTGTGACCTTAGGTTGCTTGGGTGGACTTGCTGATGAGTGTTGGGGTTGTGTGCACTGCTCACAATGAAAGCGTTGCCTCTGTGGGATGGAGAGTTTCTGAATTCAGCCCCTTCCTTCCGTCCATACTACCACCATCCGGGCGCTCTAGACGGCCATTGCCTCCTCCTTGCACTGCCCAACAGCCTCCTGCATCCACTCCTACACCCTCCAGTCCTTTCTGCAAGCACAGTGATGTCTGCGAAATGCAAATTGACCACATAAACCCCTGCTTGAAACCCCTCGTTGGTTTTCTTCGTTAGCAAACCCCTCTCTTGATCTACAACAGACTACCTAACTGGCCCTGCTCACCTTCGCCACCTCACCCCATCCCTCCCAACCGTCCCTCAGGCATCCAGATAGCTTGGCCTCTGCTCTAGACCTTGACCCAATCCCTTTCACCCTTCAGGGCCTCTGCCCTCCCCTCCCTCCACCCAGCACGATCTTCCCCAAATCTTCACAAGCTGCATCTCCTCCTTCAAATCACATCTCAGCTATCACCTCCCCAAAGAGCCCCCCCAGACCCCTACTCACACAGACCCTCCCCCGTTGTCCTGTGCATTCCCTCCAGAGTGCTCATCGCCTGTTGTAATTATTTATTCATTCACTCACTTCTTTTTTAATAAATGAGTCATCTTTTCTCTCCTACCAGACGAGGGAGTCCCTTGAAGGCAGGGACATTGTCACTCTCATCCACCACTGTGGGACGAGCCCTAGCACAGTCGTTAACCATGGAGTGTCGATGGAAGGAAGGGCTCCAGCCTCCTGGTTTCCAAACCATTCATTGTCCCCTAGAGTTTGGTGAAGGTCCCTTAGGGATTTCCCTTCCGCTGCCTGCCCTGTCTTGTCTGTGGAGTGCCTGGAAGGAGATGTGATGGGCAGAAGAGGGCCTCAGGTTGGGATGGGGCTGCATACAGGACCCTAGTGGTCATGCTGAGCCACAGGTCCTGAGTCTGGGCCCAGGACCCAACTCAACTCTCATTGATTGGGACATTCAGGAAGAGGGGGGTGCAGACCTCAGATTCTCAGCCAGGTGTGGTATGTGGAGGTCATGTGGAAACCTGTGGAAGCAGTCTGGGTCGCCATGGCAACTAGGAGCACTTCTGGCACCAGGAAGCGAGGGGTGATAAGCATCCTGCAAATGCACAAAACGGCCTCTCAAAATAGAGAATTGTCCGGCCCCAATGCCAGTGACGCTTCCACTGAGTAACACATGCTCCACTGCCAGGGCGACTCAGGGACTGGGGTCACCGCACATCCAATTGAGGGGAGAGAAGAAGGACAAAAGGACATCCAGCTGGGCAGGGGCTCTCCTCCTCTCTCAAGCAGGGACTAGCAGAGAAACGCTGAGATTCGGAGGTCAGAGCCCCAAGCCTGAGTTCTGGCTCTGCTACTCATGAGCTGGGTGACCCTGGGTAAATCAAATAACCTCTCTGGGCTTCAGTTTTCTCACCCAGGGAATATGGCAGCCAATTCCTGCCTGACTCAGTTATTCTGAAGATTAAATTACAAACATTCTTAACACTATATATTCAGTAAATGTCAGTGGCCTCGTAAGTCAAAGTTGTACACCTAGTACTCGATTTCAAAGGCATTTGGAGAGCTGAGAGGTTGATGAATCTCTCCTTTGGATGGGCCAGGTCAGAGAAATTATCTTCATCCCTTTAGGAGGTAAGGGCTGTAGCTCCAGCTCCCACTCCCGAAGCCGGCACTCACGCAGGAAAGCCGGCTCTTCCCGGAAGGTGCTCCCTGCCACGGGGGCGGGTCGAAGGCCTGGCAGGTGGAGAAGGATGCTGGCAGCCTGGCCCTCTCAGGGGGATTAATTCCACACCCTGGCTCTCGTCGCAGGCGGCATCCCGTTCATCCTCACTGGCGAGTTCTTCCAGCAGTCCCAGCGGCCGGCTGCCTTCATCGTCGCGGGCACCGTCAACTGGCTCTCCAACTTTGCTGTCGGGCTGCTCTTCCCGTTCATTCAGGTATGACTGACAGGGCGCCTGCCCCTGGGAGCCCCTCTGATCCGCAGCCCCCTGAGTGACAGGCGGCTCACAGAGCAGAGGCTGATGCTCTCCCAGCTGCAAACCCACGCCGTTGTCCTAAGCAAGGGGGAAGTGTGCTTGGCCCAGACCTTTCATCCTCTCTCTCTCCTCCCGCACCTTCCAGGAGCTGCCCCTCCATGCTAAGGGCTGCCTCGGAAGGAGTGGGCTTCCCGTTACTGCGGGTATGCAAGGAAACCTAGGTTAGAATCTCAACCCACAACCTACTCCTCATTTTTGCAATGTGCTTGTCGCTGTGTTAGACAAAGTCCATATGAGTTCCAGTGTACACTGTGACCCTGCCACGTGTTTAATATCCTCATTGTCGTCATCATAACCACAGCTAATGGGGTGCTTGTCCCAAGGGTGACAGTGATTGACAGGAAAATGCTAACTCTGGAATTGGGTACAAGTTGTTTTTGTGTAGGTAAACAATCCGTTCATTCGCCTGCTCCTTAAGTCAGCACGCACTTACTGAGTCCCTGCCGCGTGCCGGGCACTGTGTCAGGCAGTGGGGATAGGGTGGGAACAAAAGTCTGTGTTCCTTTTCAGTCCTGGAACTGAAAAGGGAAGTGACAGAGGCGGACGTGCTGCTTTAGAAGGGGCGGTCAGGGAAGGCGCGCCCTCCTGGGTGCCCTCATTCTGCCTCTCACGGACCAGGAGACTGGAGCTGAGAGATGCAGGGACTTCCCAAGGTGCCCCCACTGGGATAGACAGCATCAGGGCTGGGCCCCAGTCTCTCATCCTCACCTTGACAAGGGCAAAAGGAGCCCTCAGTTATCAGAAGGGGACCCCATCCCAAAAGTCCATTTGAACTGGGTTTGAGTAGTTAGCTTATCTTAAAAAATACAAACAACACACACATACATCAGAAAGGCCTCCAGCCGAGATGGGATCCGTCAGACCCTTTCCTTCACGTTATGCCTGTTTGGCAAATCACAGCCCACCCCCAGCTCCTCTCGGATGGAGATGCAAGGCTGTGTCTTCCCTGAGATGCTTTCTCAGACTCATGTGTCTGGGCCCAGGCCTATGCTTAGTTCCATGAAATGCATGCTAGCTCAGCCGACGCAGCTGGACTACTTGTCAAGGAAAGGGTGGGGGCACAGTGACCCCGACTGAGCATTCACTATGTGCCAGGTCACACGTGCGGCCGTGCCACTACACGGAAGGTCTTATTACCCCCACCTGTGGGTCAGGATGGGCTGGGGTTTGCTGCAGGAAGAAACAGCCCCCCAGTCTCAGTGGCTTTAAACCCCCAGGACCATGTCTCACTCCTGCTGGGTGTTCACTGTGGGGGATTAGAGATTCTGCCCCAGAGCTTCCCAACTCAGGGATGCTGGCTGCCAGGGCCTCTTCCCTCTGCAACAGCTGCCCCTGTGGCAGGTGCGGGGAACGTGGCCAGTGACATGTGTCACCAGCAGGCAAATTCCCTACCTGTGGGGAATGCAAACTGCCATGTGTCCCGAAGGGGACGGGTCAGAAAGTTTGCGTCCTTCCTGGTGACGGCCATGTGGTCTGCCTTCAGAGGCAGAAGGTCCGGCTCAGTGGGCTGGGAGACTCGCCCGAGGCCCCGTAGTTGGCGAGAGGGGGAACATGGTCACAGCATGGACTTGTGCCCTTTTCTCTATCCACATGGCTTTTGTGTGTTTCGAACTCCTTTCACAATGACCCGATTTCTGATGGCCTTGACGACGTGTTGTGCGGATCACCTTCATTCTAACTGGCTCTTCCAGCCGGGCACCCCACTGGCTGGAAGCTCCAGGAGCCTGAGAGGTTTCTGGGGTCACTGCTCTGCCTGGGTCACCATGCTGTGATGTGCTGGAGTGTCTGAGGGCAAAGTGGGACCAGGACTCTGAGTGGTTGCAGTGTCCCTCCTGCGAGGGCCCCGGAGGAGAACCCAAGTGAGCTGAGACTGTCACTGTGGTTGAAAGTGCAACCTAACGTGTGATCCAATGTGCCAGATTTCATAAAGAAAGTCAGCCCCTGGGCCCGCTCAGGGCCTGGCCTGGGGCAGGGGAATGAGCCCCGAGAGGGCTCGGCCCAGTTTCAGGGCTCAGGGCCTGGGGGGGATGCCACTCACCCGCAGAACTGAGGTCCCACCATGCACAAATGGCACAAGTCTGCATGCCCGTCTTACAATGTCAGACCAGCTGTTTCCTCCCAGACGTGTCAGGGGCACAGGTATCACGGGAGGGGCGTGACCACCACTACTTACAGGCTTGGATTTTGGGTTTGGGACAATGCAAGGAGAAGCGCAGGGGTGGCAAAGAAAGACGAGTGGCTGGGGAAGGCCTGGAAGGCAGGCTCTGATCTATTCCCTGGGAGGCTCAGAGCTCATCACTGCCTTTGGCATTTCGGGGCTAGAGCTGGAGAGAGACATGGCTCCTGCTCCCACGTCAAAGAGAGACCACCTCACCTGACCTTGACCTTGACCTTGACCTTGCCTGGCAATGTCTGCAGCCACATCAGGGACCTGGGCGGGTGGTCTGGAGGAACCAGGGAGCAATTCCAACCACAGATCCCCCTGCAGGAACACGCTGGGCCAGTAGCACAGTCGTGGAAAGCTGGTGGGACCACTTGAGAAAGAAGGGGCTGTGAGAAGGAGGAACCGAGGGCGGGGTGGGTCTCAGTGTGGGAAGGGAACCCCAGTGAACATGGGAACCCCTTTACTGCATCTCTGCCAGGCGGCCATCAGGCCTTCGCCTGGACTTTCTGGAAACAGGGGTCTCTGTGGCTGGAGGAGGGGCGATTCCATTGTTACAAATCCCATCCTTAGAGCGCGCTCCCTTGTACGGGCCGAGGCAATGAGTCCATGAGTGGGAACTGCTCTGTCTCCCAAACGAGGCGGCCGGAGCGTGCAGGCCAGGCACTGAGCTCCACTGAGTCCAGCTTTGTAGCACAAGGCCTTCCTTGACCCAGTGAATGGCTGGGTGGGAGCTAATGTCTGCTAGGGACCCACAGGGGGATGTGGGACACACCTGATCACATTGACTAGGAGATTACACTGAGTGTCATGAGGGGGCCAAGATTGCACAGCTACGGAAGGGCAGGACCGACAGTCAAATACAAGTCTGTCTGGGCCTCCAGCCAAAAACCATTTAGATTTCAAAATGCAAATATTCACTCATTCATTCGTTCCAGGAACCCTTCCAGTATGTACAACCTGCCAAGCACTGTGCGAGGTGTGGGGACACACTGATGACCAGCCTGCACGGCCCTCCAGGGCTCTGAGCCAGGGTGGTGGTGGGCTGTGGGAGAGAGGACAGACATGAACCCGAGGGGTGGTCGTGCCAGGCAGAGTGGGAGAAGTCCTCCAACACCGTGTGCGCAGGACTGTAGCAGCTCTCAGCAGAGGCAGTGGTCACAACCGCAGGAGTCGGCCCAGGAGGCCTCTCAGAGAGGCGAGGAGCTCCGCTCTGCAGCGTGAGTGGAACTTAGCCCCGTACTGGAGGAGAAGGGCGTTCCACGACTTTACCATATAAGGTAACAATTAGAGGTCCCAGGGCATAGCACCTGATATCTGTGGGGGGCCCTTACTCAACCTGCCACACCTGTGTTCACATATTCATGACTCCCTTCCGTTTTGCCCCAAGTGCTGGGCGAGAATGGCGTTGAGACCAGAGGACTTCGGCTCGCATCCTGAACCTGTGTGTTAATCGCTAAATGACTGTGGACAAGTCACAGATGTGGCCCAGCCCCACATGTCTCAGCTGTACGATGCCCCACAGGGGGCAGCACTCCATAAGCTGTACACACGGGGGGCACAGTCTCATCTGCTTCTGGGGAGCCCAGCCCAAGACAAGTCATATCCGTTTTCTTCATCCAACAGCCCTGTGGACAATTATTTCCATTTTACAAATCACAAAACTGAGGCCCGGAGGAGGGAAGTGATCCAGAGCATGGGCCCCTCTGAGTGAGCTTGGCCCAGGGTCACTGTCTACCCGCTTCTATTCCATGCACTTATTGTAATTCATTTGTGAGGTAGGTGCCATTAGAGCCCCATTTCACAGATGGAGAAACAAATGCACAGGAAGGTTAAGTCACTTACCCAGGGTTGCCCAGCTAACAAGTGGTAGAGATGAGATTGGAACCCATGCAGCTCCAGGCTGTGCATTCTTAACCACGACACTATACAGTGGCCCCAAGAGAGTCACAAATCTTGACCGGTGTCTCCCATGTAGAGGGTGAGAGGTGCTAATCCAACCATGAAAATGACTCTCTGTAGGGCTCTAAATGATTGTGGATTTGTTTGTATGAAATTTCTTAAGCACATTGTTTGGGGCAGAATTATTTGGGGTAGGCTATTTAGGGTGGAGGCCGCTGATCAGGGTGAGAGAATCTGTCCCCCTTGCTGACCCGAGGAATCCCACAGCAAGCCCATGGAACGGCGATGGCTGGCCAGCTCTCCCCAGCTTTAGATGCGGGTTGGTTCTGCGCAGCCTGCAGAGCAGACCTTTATCGTCACTCCTGCTCCTGGGCTCCCGCCTCCCCCCGGGAAGAGACCCAGCAAAGGGCCTGGTGCTTCTCCGGTGCTGACCGAGGAGGCCAAGCCAGTTACCTGTAGATCCTCCACCTCACTGCACAGCAGGACAGCGATGGGTTTCGGGCTCTGTTGTAGCGCTTAATAAACGTGGAAACAGTGGTTGAGGGTTCAGGCTTATAGTCAGAGGGCCTGAGTGTCTCCTCTGCTCCTGATAAGCTGTGTGACCTTGGATTTCTCCGGACCTCTGTTCCTCATGTGGAGGTGGAAGATAATGCCAGCCTACTCAGAGGCTACTGTGAGACTAAGTTGTGTGATACTTGAAAAGCACTATTATACTGGATGGGTCACAGCAGGGGACAGGCCACGGCAGAGATGACAGAGGTGCTGGCTGGCAGATGAGCTTTGGGAAGTGGGACCTCGGGGTCTAAGGGGGCTGGAGACAGCAAGGTGGAACCACGGA